CATAGATCCAGTCAAAGATGTATTTTAGTCACTTCTGGGTTAAAATGAGATCCCTTCCCTTTATAACTCACTTATCCTCCGCCATTCCCAAGTCAAGGGTCGTATATACTGACCCAATAGCATATCTTGAAAACTAGAGCCAATCAACAATTTTAAGCATCATTTTCGTTCTCAGTGACCCAGAATTAGTAAAGTTTGACTACATTTATTTCAGAAGCATTTTGGCTGTAGAGCAGTGTTATCATTGGCTGAGTTGTACCTGTTCTGTGTATAAAGGGAGGACTTCATTCTTCCAGACTGCCAATTATGCTTTAACATTTTTACAAATGTTAACTAATTAATCTACTAGAGGAGTAAGAAACTAGCCTAGTGCAACTGAAGCTTAGAATAAGATATTTGGATTAAAAAGGAAACATATGAAGACCCAATAAAAGTAACCTCACCACTCAGTCAGTCAGGAATCCAAACCATTCTAAGAGCTGAATTAGCACTTAACAAAATACCCCACCCCTATAGACATAGCAGCTTTCCGCTGAAATTTCATACGATTCCACAAACTGAGCTATATAAGGCTGGGTCCATACTTGAAGAAGAGACTTTCAAGGAACACCTCTGGACAGGTGATGCAGAAAGAGACACTGGCAATCAGTAAGGGCACTCTTTCCTCTGACTCCACATTGAACCAATGACCAGCATACGTCCATGGTGCTCTGTTTTACTGGAGGTGCCATCTTTCAGATGAGATGAAAAACAAGGTCTTAACCTCATTAAAAATCTCATGGATCTTTAATAAGAGTATGCGTGTTACAATTCAGTTAAGGAACTGCAGGTTAACTCTGATAATTATATTCTGCCTACCTACACTCCCCATGAAGTTTCAAATGGATATGCTATTCTTCATGTCCTGCCATAAACCAGTGCACTGTTAAATGCCTGCTATGTTTCATTTCAGAAGTGGGTGCACTTCAGGGGTGGTAAAATGATCCCCGTACAGAATGTATAACTATTTACGTTTGCAAACTGGTTTGTCATCCTCTGGGTTAAGAGGTGCTATTGTGGAATCCTGCATGCTGGTTGGGTGGCAACAGGGTAAGCGTTTATATGCATAAGTGATAGTAGGAGATGATCAGCATCTTGAATGATTTCACTTAACAGTAATGGGATTTTTATTGTGTTTGTGTGTCACTTGCCCATGAACTTTCTAAACTATCGCCATGGCAATACCTCTTACTAAGAGACTTCACTGCTAGAGTAATACTAGTTTTGAAATCGATACAAAATAAAAGATAAAACAGAAACACCAATTTCTTTCATTTGCAAAGATACTGGCATGGCACATACTGCAGCAGGACAAATGTTCCTTCACTCAAAGAGAGATGCTGCCCACCACACACATAAATAACTGATGGAATATTATATAAGGCTTCCCCAAATACATGAAATAGATGCAAGACTCCTTGCAGAAGTAAAAAGGGAATGCCAGTTTCTTCATAAAATTACAATTGTTTAATTTTATTATTTTTTCAAGAAAAAATATAAAAGCAAAAACAATATAATTAACAAGACATTTAAATTAATACAGCAATCATTATGACCAATGTCGGGACAAAGAAATACAAACACAAATCTGTTGCTTTATGCTTTTAGCGTCTGGTTTTGTTTGTTTAATGCTGGTCTCCAACCAGCTAACTTATCCTACAAAGGAAGTGTCACACTGGGCCAGACCCAAGGTCCCAGCTAGTCCAGTATACTGTCTCCAAAAGTGGTCAGAACCAGATGCCTCAGAGGAAGGTGTAAAAACTCCACAGTAGGCAGACCAGTAAGTAGATCAGGTCCCATCCTGATCTCTAATAGTTAAAGATTGGCTTAAGCCTTTAGCATGAGGTTTAAAATCGCTTCCACAACATTTTTTTAGCATTACTTATTGAAACTTTGTATATTTGATATCTGTATAAATGCAAAGGTAAATAATTTTTCTTCCCATAAATTATAAACATACCGGAGCAATACATTGAGTCA